GTTATTTTATTTTTTAAAACTTTTTGCTTTTTGAGACAGAGTCTCTTCCTGTTGCCTAGGCTGTAGGGCAGTGGTGTGATCTTGGCTCACTGCAACCTCTGCCTCCCAGGCTCAAGTGATTCTCGTGACTCAGCCTCCCGAGTAGCTGGGATTATAGATGTACACCACCACACTGGCTGATTTTTATCTTTTTTTTTTTTTTTTTTTTTTTTTTTGAGATGGAATCTCACTCTTTCACCCAGGCTGGAGTGCACTGGCATGATCTCAGTTTACTGCAACTTCTGACTCTCAGGTTCAAGTGATTCTCCTCCCTCACCCTCCTGAGTAGCTGGGATTACAGGTGTGCACCACCATGCCCCACTAATTTTTGCGTTTTTTTAAGTAGAGACAGGGTTTCATCATGTTGGCCAGGCTGGTCTCGAACTCCTGACCTCAGGTGATCCGCCCAACTCGGCCTCCCTAAGTGCTGGGATTACAGATGTGAGCCACTGCGCCTGGCCAACAAATAGCATGTTTGATGACATAATATCTTACCACAGCACTAGAAGCTGAGACCTGGCATCCCTAGTTGCAGCCTCAGGGGTCTGTCATGGGTTTGGTGTGGGGTGATGCCGCGGATCCCTGGAGAGGAATCCTGCATTCACTGGTTTGAGTGGGGGATGTTTTTGAAGAGCCCTTTCTCCTTCAGTTTTGTGCCCCTTTACTTCTTTTGACCACTTCTAGAAATTCTTTGTTCCCTTTGCTTCTATTACATGGAACTTTCCAAAGTCTTCTATTTCTCTGAAATCACATTCTATTTTCTTCCTTTCTTCTTTTTTCTCTTCTTAGCCCCAAACTATTAGATGTTCTTCAACACTTTATCCACAGAATCTGTATTTATGTTGAAAAACTCAACTCCCCTACCTGTCCCCTTTATGTGGGTGGTTCTTGAAGTCACATCTGAGCCTGCACGTCCCCCCAGGCTATGGTTCCCCACCTCCAGCTACACTAAGCTGACATCCTTTGGGGCCTCAAATTAAGTGTGTTTGAAATGAAACCTGTCATTTTGTCTTGAGCCATCATTCCTGTATAACTTGCCTCTTTCCCTTAATGTCACTTTCATGCTTCACGATGCCCTGCCCAAAAATTCACGTCCTCATTGACTTCTTTCTCTTCCTTTGCCTCTCGTGTCTATTTGGTTTCTGGGTCTTTCTGCCTGATCCCTAGAGCTGTTCATTCCTTCCCATGTTCACTGCTAAGATTTGGGGCTCATGTCTGTCTGATTTTATGCGCGTGGCATGGCCAGGCTGTCTTCCTGTGTCCTTGGTGTCCTGTGTGCTTGGATTTTAGAAATCGGCCTGTGGTGTTCTGATTTCCCGGAGGGCCAGCTCCAGAAGCTGGCATTTTTGGAGTCGTCCATATACAGACTGGACTTCTCTCTCATGCTCCTACGCTCTGACCCATCCAGCATAGCCAGTGTGATTTCTCCGCAGGCCTCAGTGTTCTCTGCTTCCTGATATCATCTAGAACATGCTCTTTGTAGCCTCCTCTTTCTGTTTCCAAGTCCTGTCTGTTCTCAAGACCTGGCTTTGGTCCCCATTACCCTATAAAGAATATCTTGCTCCTGCCACATGGCACGTGGTATGCTGCTGTGACAGCAGGTCAGGTGTTGTCCTGGGGTCTGGCTATTTAATCCTTGTACTCTTGTTTAATCTTTCACAAGTGTCTGTCTTCTCCTGGAACTCTGGGTATAAACAGAACCTGGCACGCAGTCCATGTTCTAGCAATGCTTGTTGGATTGGAGTGGTGGAATTGCCAGCACAGTCTTCGGTCAGAAGTTGTGCTCCTCTCGTCCGCCTTGGATTCCGGGTTAACAGTCTTGTGTGTGTGTGTGTTTCAGCTGCAGATCCCAAGTGTGAAGGGCTTCGATTTTGCTAAGCAGCATCTGGGTCAGCACAATAAAGACGACATCTTGATTATTCATGAGCCAGCGCCACTGCCAGGACCTCTGAAGGACCACACCACGCCCTCGGAAAATGGGGATGTGCCAAGCCCCAAGTCAAAGATGCCTTCCAAGAACGTCCGTCACAGAGGAAGGTTATTATTGGGCTTTCTGTATTATTCTTTGTGGCAGAGCATGCTTCTGTTATCAGGCTGTGAGTTTCTGATGCCACAGGGGCTAATGGTGAGTGCGGCCCTGCATGTGTCTGCAGCCCGGGAGACCGATGACTTGCCCAAAGTCACACATGAGCCCAATAGTGTTTCCGAGCCACTCTCACGGGCTGTCAGAGAAGGCTGTGTGATTTCTTTCCCCACACGGTTGAAGATCATGAATCACTATCTGTGATGGTTTGAGGGTCCCCATCAGACTTGATCAGGGATTGGCCGGCTCGTGTGTGTATATCCCAAGGGGAGCATGCTAGGCCCCATGGAGAGAATATCAGAAATAACATAGAAGGAGTGCACGGCACATGGTACATGCTCAGCCTGTGGGCCACTGTGTCCATGCCTGGGATGCCAGCAGCTTCTGTGACTTCATTGCTTTGTCTGCAGGTGACTTTCATCGCATCCTCCTGTGTTTGCTTTGTTTTTCTCTGGCTGCTCATGTATGTCACCTTTGTCAGGATATCACACAAGACTCTTCACTGCCTCCTCCCTGCCTCGCTCCCCTTTCCCAATTTATTTCTATTACTCCTCTCAAAGTATAGCACACGGAGAATTGCTTATTAGTTTTCCAAGCTACCTGGAAGCCGCTCCTCACCCTCTGACCCCATGAGAAGGGCTCTAGCTCTGTGAAAGAAGACAGAGTTCAGAGTCGGGTTCGTTAAGTTGACTTTCCATCATAGCACCATCAGGCTTTGGCTACTGAGGCCTCCTGTTGTCAGCCTTTCTTTGAGCTTTGGAACGCTAAATCCTGATTTCCTGCTAAGAGCAAAAGAAAGTGTGTGATCATACCAACATTTGAAACGATGTCATGATTTCTGTCTTATCGGAAAACCTACCCCAGGGGTTCTGGCCTAGTTTTAAGAATGTAATAGATGTCAGAACATGATCTTTACAAAAGAAAATGAGTTATATAGAGAGATGCTATTTGATTATTTTGCAGGCTAAGAATAAATGGAATCATTGAAGATTATTTCATATGCAAGTAAAATTTTGCTAAGTGTTTTTTTTTTTTTTTTTCTTGCCTGGTAGCCTTGTCGTTGACATTTAGTCATGACAGCTCAGTGGTCTGCATGGTTAATACAATGTTTTAGCATCTTTCTGGGATGCTAAAGCACCAGAATGTCTTGGCATTCCACATTGTCATTGAAGCCAGGGAGCCTAAGGAATCGGAGCCAACTGATGAAGG